TCTTCACTAAGTTGGACCTCCGCAGTGCTTATAACCTCATCCGAATACGTGAGGGGGATGAATGGAAGACTGCCTTTGTGACCCCTACTGGCCACTACGAGTATCTGGTCATGCCCTATGGACTTGCCAACGCCCCCTCCGTATTCCAGGATTTCATGTACCAGGTGCTCCGGGAGTTTCTCCATCAGTTCGTCATTGTATACATAGATGACATCCTCATCTACTCCCGGAGCCAGGCCGAACATCACCAGCACGTTGCGGAGGTCCTCCAATGCCTGAGAGAACAGCACCTATTCCTCAAGGGTGAAAAGTGCTCCTTCCACCAACCCACAGTGCAATTCCTGGGGTATAACCTTGACCATACCGGTATCCAGATGGACGAGGGGAAGGTGGAAGCTATAACCTCCTGGCCAGAACCCACCACGATTAAAGAGCTCCAACGATTGGAGAACCGGAAAAGCATCATCCCACCTAAGATAATAGTCAGTCCAATCGAATGGAATTCTCCTCCAGTGGCCTCCAACACAGCTCCTAACAATCCGCCGGGCTGTCCTCCAGGATGTCACTACGTACCACGGATAGAGCGCACCCCACTCATTCACTCTGCTCACTCCTCCCAAGGCACTGGCCATCCAGGAGCCAACAACACCCTCTCGCTGCTACGAGATCGCTTCTGGTGACCCAATATGGCAAGGGACGTGAGAAGGTTCGTGCAAGGATGTCCGGATTGTGCCATGTCCAAAAGCCCGCGCCATTTACCATCTGGCAAACTCCTTCTCCTTCCAGTGCCAAATCGCCCCTGGTCACACCTAGGAGTAGACTTTGTCATGGACCTACCCCCCTCTGAAGGGAACACATACATCCTGGTGATTGTTGACCGCTTCTCGAAGTCATGTCGCCTTCTGCCCCTCAGAGGTCTCCCCACGGCCCTATAAACTGCTATTCAATCGCGTCTTCCGATACTATGGACTTCCTGAAGACATTGTTTCCGACCGGGGACCCCAGTTTATCTCCAAAGTATGGAATGCCTTATTTAACCTCCTAGGTGTGACCGTAAGCCTCTCGTCCGGATACCATCCCCAATCGAATGGTCAGACGGAGAGGAAGATTCAGGAGGTGGGGCGATTCTTACGAACCTTCTGCCATGGCCACCAGGATTCCTGGAACCAGTTCCTGGGCTGGGCCGAGTACGCCCAGAATTCCCTGCACAGCCTTCTACTGGTCTCACTCCCTTCCAGTGCGTACTCGGGTTTCAGCCGCCACTGTTCCCCTGGTCCGGGGAGCCTTCTGATGTTCCGGCGGTAGACTTCTGGTTCCGGGAAAGCGAGAGGGTGTCGTGTCAAACCTCTTCCGTAACAGCACTAAGTAGTAAGCAAATATTGCTTTACCAACACAGCTGGAAAGATGTGCTTTATCTTGCTGAATTTGACTTTTTCATCATTTTTAATATATCAGTATTGTTTTAGTGTGTCTCCACGGAGTTAAAATATTATATGCACCTTTACTGTGGGTCTTGAATACAGATCGCACTGCAGAAAAGCCCATAAAGATGATTTTATACTGGGAGAAGATGTGCAGCGAGTCATTGTGCTGCCCAGCATGTAACGAGAGGCTCGTTAACACGGTCTCCTATCTTACTCAAGAGTAATTACGGTCTCATTTTGCTTCCTTTTGATGTTGTTTTTACCTCTCTCTGTTTCTATCTCACACCTACAGTCCGTTTCAAGGTCTTAAGCAACAACCACCTCCAGATCCGCGGCATCAAAAAGACAGATGAGGGTGACTACACCTGCGAGGGCCGTATCATGGCCCGGGGAGAAATTGACCTCAGGGTCATCAAGGTCATTGTCAATGGTGAGGACTCAATCTCAGAGCCACCTGCTTTGTTACCTCACATGTTTTATACACATCTTTATATACATTTACACCAGTGTTTCTCTACAGAATTAAACAGTCTGACTTTTTTCTTGTAAAAACAAGATACATTTGCTTGAGATGCTAAATTGCATGTTATAATTCATTAATTGTAATAAATATTAATAATTCATAAAACATAATTCATTATTAGACTTGAATTCATTGGGTGACCTTTTTAAATACAACTTTTAAACTTTTGTGAGACTTATACCTTATTTCCTAGAACATAATCTTATTTTGCTAAAGTAAATCTGATATTTTATTATTAGAACATTTTAGAGATACTTCAAAACAATACATAAATGCTAAAAAAGAGGGTTTCTTTTTATTTATTTATTTGCAGTGTGTTGGCTTTGTATTTTAGCTACAGTATGTAATAGAATATTTTCTCCCAAAAAGAAAATTCTGTGTTTATTAAAGTCTTTCCAAACCCATATGCTGTTATTTTGTCTAGGGAACATAAAAGAAGAATGTTTCATAAATGTTTGAAGTGGTTTTTCCCGTAATACAGCAGTTCTGAAGCCATCCGATAACTTTATGTGAGGAACAGTCTAAACTTTTGCAATATTATTCAGTTATGACTGGCTTCAGAAAACTACTTTTATAATGTTTTATCTGTTTCTTTTATGGAGCACATGGTTACTATGAACTGTCCTTAAATGGAAATGAGTTCCACAGATTAAAATTACAGCATACAGATTTGGAACGAAATCAGAACGAGTCGTATTGTAATTTTTGGGTCGTCTGTCTCTTTAAAGAGTCAGTATTTACCAGAATGTTCTTTTCGCTTTTCTCTTCTTCTCCCAGTTCTGCCAAGTATCAGGACGCGCTACACTGAGCTTAATGGCACTGCAGACATCAACCAGGCCATGACGTTGGCCTGTTACGCAGATGGCTACCCAGAACCCACCGTCACGTGGGCACGGTACGTGTCATTCATCACCCTTTCTTTTTTAGGGGCCCTTTATCTGTTTGTGCCAAAACAGCGCCAAAAAAGTTCAGCCAAATCTCTGTAGGGAATGCTAAGCTTTTCCCCGAATCCAGGGAGGGAGAGGGATCAGAGTTATTGGAGCTTGTAAACTAAAAGTGCTGTGAATGACAGAGGCACCGTTTCATCCTTTCAGCTGCCGTTAGCCGTGGCAGCTAAAGCAGCTGGTGGCTTTCAGCATGGCTTTACCTCAGAACTCCAGTGACTTCTTTAACCAAGTCGTGACTGGCACGCGAATAAGAGGACGAGATCGCATCATGTCTGACTGTTGCCTCGGGAGAAGGAGGGATAAGAGCGCTCGCCACAACCTCATTTATTTCCCTCCTTCACTGACAGTGCTGTCACTCGGGTGCCATTTGAAAATGTCGCTCAATTGCTGCTGTTACAAGCAAAAAGAGCAGATATTCAGATCCAAACTTTGCATGACTGATTTAGTGTCACAGGGAAACAGCTCACAGCATTCTTCCAAATAAAAAAGCCCATCAGCTTGATGTTTCTGGCCATCAGACATTATTTAAACCTTTTTATTGGCTTCAAGACAGGAACGTGTCAAGAAACCAAAGATGACAAAGCAGATCCGCTTTTATTTTTCTCCAGCTTCTTCCTACACTATCAGCATCATGAGAAGCTGTGCACTGCAGGATGAAGAATCCATTTCATGGGCAGGCACACTTTCTCTCTGTATTTTCTGGTGTATGTGAAGATGAGGCATCATGTATTCATGACTTTGCTGAGCAAGTAACAGCTTGAAGGCCAAACAGTAAACCTATCCTTTCTTTCGTTCTTTCTCTCACTCTCTCTCTCTGCCTTGCAGAGGTAATATCGTGCTGGAATCAGATGGAAAGTACAGTTTGAATGAAGATGGGTCAGAGTTGACCATCAAAGATGTCACTAAGCTTGATGAAGGAGATTACCAGTGCATCGCTAGAAACAAGGCTGGAGAGAGGAGCGAGGAAGTCTCACTCAATGTGTTTGGTAAGCTAAAGAATTCTGTCATTACCATTGGAGCTGAACTGAAAAAAAGTGTTTACATATGAGTTACCAGGAAAATGTTCTCTCCATTAGGACCATACAATTTGTCAATTTAAAAGCAAAATGGTGTTATTGCCTTGTGCAATTTATTAAGCCGTGAAATGTTGCAATATTATTAAATGAATATAATGTCATCTGTTATGTCATCTGCTACACTCTGCATGCAAAAGGCCCATAGTGTAGTGTTTTCAGTATCGCAGAGCGGCTCACTCTACAAGTTACTATTCTAATCAAATTTAAAGAGCAGGTCATATGGGTTTTCAAAAAATATATTTTTTGCCATTTGTAATGTAGCTATCCTTCAATGTAAACCGTCTGCAAAGTTGTTAATCAAAAAATGCATGATAAATTTTCTGCCTGTTACCTATATACATCACAAGGTAACACATTTGCATAATCCCCGCCCGGGAAATATGAACACTCTGACCTGTCCACAAAAACTTCCACTAGTTAGTGTGTTTATATCAGGTCGAGAAGACCCTGTGTTTTCAGCCTCACTGGGCATTCAAACACAGTTCCCACACCTGCACCTCAAATAAGTAAATAATAATAATGAATGCTATAAAACTGCTGTCACATCACGTAAAGTACCACATACAAAGTTTAAACTTACCACTGAGAAACGTCCTGATCAAGTCGTGCTTGTGATTTCCGGTTGAGCGACTGCATCAGTATTATCCTCGGACTCATCAGTATTAGTATTATCCTCGCATCAGTATTATCCTTGGTTCGAATTGATAAGGTAATATCGATGCCATTTTTGTAACCTTATAACATCTTTGTTTACAAGTAACCCTCCAAAGCAAAAAAGTTATTATGGTAATGGGCGTTTCGCTTCCGACACACATTGTATATGGAAAGACCAATCACAACCGACTTTGCCAGCTGACCTATCAGAGCAGAGTAGGCTTATGGAAGGGATTAGATTACATACCTTAAGCTCAGAACTGCTTTGAACGAATCATTTCGAAATCATTGAAAAATGATTCTAATATTAAATGTATCTTCTGAGAAAATTACAATGTTTCCTTGAGTCCAAATAAAGACTATATTTTGTGAAAATGAAATATATGAAAAATTTGATATTTGTTATATATGTTGTATAGTAATAATAATAATAATTATTATTATTATTACTATTATATGATTAATCATATAGTAACATACAACACATATAACATCCAAATATTCAAAATATTAATACTACTGCTTGTCACAGATCAGCCAGGTCTCCACACCAGCCAATTCCAGCGCACTCCCTCACCAGACTACTAATCACACGCACCTGCCACTCATCTGCACACTCATCACGCTGGCTTCAAAAGCACACACATCACCTCACTCCAGTGTCCGGTCTCATTTACATGTAAAGGACTTATTTCCAGTCTCTCCTACATACTCCCCAAGCTAGTTCTCCAGTGTCTATCCTGTACTTGCCTCCTGTGATTCTCCAGCGTGTTCTCCTTGTCCTTGTCCTCCATCGTCTCCATGCTTCTCTCACCCACCTGCAAGTGTTTGTGTGTGTGTGCTTCCTCCATTCATCTGCCCATCCACGATCTCCTAGTCCAATAAGACAAAGACTGATATTAAATTCATCATCCTCTCAGCTAAAGTATCATTGCTCAGTTTACTTACTTGATTTCCTGCTGATCCAACGTTGTCAATAAAAATCCTGTTTACAGTCATCCCTGTGTTCTGAGTATACTTCTGCAACACTGCTATTGTTATATATAAACTAAATTTTTAAAACAAAGCAAAAATGTGTCTGTTTTCATGTTTTCTTTTTCTCATTCTTGTTCTTTTTAATAATTATATATATTTTTTTTTATTACATGGTGTGATACAGTATCATAATTGTTTTCCAGAGAACAAAAAATTACAAGAAATATATCATGAAATATGTAAATTGGCTATGACCTTATCATCTTTTAGTTTTGGGTATAATGTGAATACAAGGAGAACTGAATTCCTTTTACTCAGTTCACTTTTTGGTCAATTGAAAGTGATCTGAGTTTTGTTCTCTTAATAAGAACAAGTGTGAATACTCCTAAAGAGTAACTATCACTGTTGAAAAGAGAGCATAGAAAAAGTAAGAGACTTAATATGAAAACAAAAAACATTGCTGCTTAGTTTATACTTTAAGCACACTGTTGATCCTGAGAGCTGCTGTTTCAGTGTCATTCTATGCTTTTCTTCTTTATTATTGTTATTATGTTTGCATGAATATTTTAAATGTTCGTGTCGCAGTTCAAAACGCAATCATAATATTTGTATTTCTCATCATGCATAAGTTTTCTCCAGCCACATTCTCCAGCACTGCTTCAGAGCACTTAGATTAGAGCCAAAGCAAATAAAAGTGAATCAAAGTACTACATTTCATCCATTAAACAAAGTTCCTCTTTTGAATTATAAAATATAACGAGTTGATTAAATATTGAATGCACCCAGCCAGTGAGGCACTCTCTTCTCATTAACTTAAGAGCACTGTTTTGGTGTTATGACCATTGTAAAGGCTCAGTAATTGCATCAAGGAAAATCATTGTTTCTTTTCCCTGAGGAGTGTTTATAGGCCATGTTTTGAGTTCTTGTGTTTGTGTGTCAACAGTGCAACCCAAGATCACGTTCCTAGAAAACCAGACGGCCTCTGAATTGGAGGAGCAGATCACACTAACTTGCGAGGCCACGGGTGATCCCACCCCCAACATCATCTGGAGCTTTGGTCGCCGGGTCTTCACAGAGAATGAGCAGGTGCTGAGGTTGAGGGATCAGGGGTCAGTGGGCAAAACCATTGGTACTAAAGGCCGAAAAATACTGATTGGATTGATATACTGGTAGAAATTTGTATACATTTGACTATTATTTTTGTCATGGTTATATAAAACGTAGCTACATGGTATTAAGTGGGTGTTTCAGTCACTTTACAATGTGGAATGAGAAAGAGCTTGTTTAAAAAAAGAAAATGTCCTTTGTTTGAACCGACCCCTTTTGTTGTTATTGTTGCCAATGCTTTGAAACTTTCTTATATGCACCTATTCTGCTGGGGGTTTTTTTTAAACAAGGATAGGGAAACAGTTGATTTACCTCTAGAATTATTAAGTAACACCTGGGTCAGCTGCGCATTTATATCTAGTAATTAAATATAGTTGGTGAAAGGTTTCTAGTTAGCCATGGAAGCTGTACTGGAATGCCTGATGAGAGACTTGTTTCAGAATCAAAGCAAACGTTTATCATGTTCAATTGAGATGAGAGAGCAAATTTTTTGGTTGGATTAAAATAAGAGATTCTGAGCAGATAAATGGTCTGATGAATATCATTTTCAGTAATTAGCTATATTGATATTCACTACCGTTCAAAACTGTCAAGACTGCTGAATATTCACCTTTGCTGAATGCATAAATTACAGTACATTTTTTAAATATATTCACATAAAAAAAACAGTTATTTTAAATTGTAGTAATATTTCACAATATTACTGTTTTTGTGATCAAATAAATGCAATCTTGGTGAGCATGAGAGATTTCTTTCAAAAACATAAAAAATCTTCCTGACCCCAAACTTTTGATCGGTAGTGTATATTAATTGTCTGGTATTCTTGACTGTTCAGATAAAGGTCCAGCATTTAAATTTGTGAAATTATTATTATTTATTTTTTTTCAGTGTATTTATTTCCTTTACAGTTTTCAGTTTTAAACATTTTCATAAAAATCTGTATATTATGTGTAAGTTCATTCAAAAAGTCTAGTTAGCGCTCCCAGAAGAGGTGTGTTGTCAGTTCCACAAATTGTGTGTTGTATATTGTTATTGACCAGATTCTTTTTATGTTTAATTAATGCATACTTTCTGATTTAATCACCTACCCAGTCAGGAAATACAGCAATTGCACTAGAGGAGTCAAAACAAGAGTACAATACACATTTTTAGGAGTTCTCCTGATTGCTGTTAGGCCTATGCTAGTGAGTAAAAGTGAGTTTTTTTATATCTTAGAAGCGGCAAGCTCACCAGTGCTCAGTCTCACTGGTCTCTCTGCTCTGCTGGATTCTGAACCTCTCTTAAGCTGGCTGCACAAAAAAATCTTAAAAGATTTTAAAAACATGGGAGACCACAGACATGGAGACAATTCAACCGATTTTTAGCCTTATAATCCTCTGAATGCGCACACTAGATGATTAGACCAGACCACGAGACCACACACTTGATGATTGTAGGAACGATTTCACAGTGACACGAGATCTCACGGACACTCGCGAGATCAAACATGACTAGAGAAGAAAAACAAATAGAGGACAATCGATGTTGTCAGCTGGCTCTCCCGGCGCGCATTCTGTTGTACAGTGAAAAACAAAGTATTGAAAAGAATATGGGTGATGTTCTCTGCTTTCATGGCATGTGTGTGGCTGCCAAGTTTCAGCTATAGAAGCATGCAACATCCGGTAGGTGACGCTTGCTCGCTTTCATTGGCTGTCGCGGGTATCACGTCAGAAGCAGCCTGATCAAGAGTCGTAAATATCAAACATGTTTGATATTTACGATTTGAGTTCGGCGACACTCCGTCTCGATCGGGAGCAGTTAAGTAATCGTAATGACACCACACAATAAAGGATTTTTTGGACAAAAAATCGCTTGCAACAAGCCGCGAATCAGGCCACACACCCTGATCTTTCGGGGGTGCAAATCGGGCTTAAAATTGGCCTTAAAATCCTCTAGTGTGCACCCAGCCTTATTTAGTCAAGCACACTACCTAATTAACAGCCTCGAAATACTCTGTCTCAATTTATATTTCATCATAGTACAGTGATCAGAATTCATCGACAGCTGCTAAAAGCTCTTACTGCTTCTCAGCCTGATGGGGAGCCCCTAACCACTTCAAACGTGATTTCTCCTTCCCCTCTCTCAGGTAAACCCAGTGGTTTTCAATCCTGGTCCTGGGGACTCACTGCTCTGCACATTTTGTGTGTCTCTCTTATTAAACACACCTGATTGAGATCATCAGCTCATTAGGAGAGATCCATGAACTAAATTGAGTGTGTCAGATAAGAGAGACATACAAAATGTGCAGAGCAGTGGGTACCCAGGACCAGGATTGAAAGCCACTGGGTAAACCCTACATGTCCAGCCCGTTCCAGTCTTATAGCTAGGAAAATGTGAGTTCATTGTTAGAGGGTTTTGAGCCTGCCATAGATCTCAGTAGGCAGGTGTGAAGTCCAAGCATGTTAACAAGTCTCTGAGGCCCTTTTTGGTAATATTTTAATTGTATGTATCAAATCCCCAAGGCATCGTGGGAATTAATCCTTATATAAAACCCTTCATGTATTATTAGAATATCCCACTGGTCACCCTGTTTTTATGCCAGCAGTACTTGGTAAGCGACCAGTTTGCCCTCCTCCTGCTGGTGGGCTATGTTGTGTAGGTGGGCTGTGAAAAAGCACCTTATGTTTACGTGTACATCTGGCTCACTATGAAAATTATATTTGCGTGACAATAGCCCACCAGATTAGATCCTTCCCTGTGTTTGCATTGTATTATCTCTGGCTAGTCGAGCCAATATTCATAGCTGTCAAAGGGGAAAAAATATTTCCAGCTGTACGGTGAAGGTTTTCTTTGTTTATGATCATTTTTATTGCTGGTTCTCAGCTCAGAATAGCAAATGGATATGCTTTGTAAAGAATGATCATAGTCTTGCTTATTCATGCTGCTCTGATTGATGTCTGACTCTTATTTGACCACTCCTCATGAGTGTTTGCACTTGTAGCATTGTGGTTACAAAAGTGATTACTTTTGGAAATGTGGTTGTTCCATTTAATGAATGTCTACTTAATCTTGTTGTAAACAATGTTAGATTATATGATTTTGTTCATTTTGCTGTTAGGATAGGACTTGAAATGGATTTAAACTACCAAATACACTTAAACTTGTATTTTGGAACACGGTATCCTGGTATCTTAGCTGCTCTAACCAGGTCATTAACTGGTCCATGCTTGTCATTAGCCAGTGGACCAACAAACATTGTTCACCTCAACAAAATAGTTCACCCAAAAATAAAAATTTGCTGAAAATTTACTCATCCAAAGGCCTTCCTAGATGTAGATTAGTTTGTTTTTTCATCAGAACAAATTTAGCATTACATGATTTGCTCACCAATGGACCCTCTGCAGTGAATGGGTGCCATCAGAAGAGTCCAGAGAGTCCAAACAACTAAAAACATAAAAATAATACACAAGTAATTAACATTACTCCAGTCCATCAGTTAACATCTTGTGAATGGAAAAACTGCAGAAACTGTCAAACTATAAGTTGGTAGCTGATATTTTCTTGACCAGCTTGGACTAACTAATATCTTGCTTAGAGAAACCAGCTACTGTGTTGAAAAACACATGCAGCGCTATAATAACCTGAAATTTAGCAGTTCATTAGCACTAATTTTGTTGAGCTGCACTTGTCTCTCACCTCATCTCATCACCTTCTACAAGATGTAGTGATGCTTCATGTTTCTGTGTGTTCGCTGACTGGAACTACCTGTACATTCAAGGATTCCAGCCAGTCAGAATCAAGTATTCAGACAGACAGTCCTATAAGTATATGTGTAAGTGTATGTCTTTCGATGGTTGCCCGAGGATTGCCTTAAGTGAAAAGAGCTGGCAGTGTTTAATGAGGCGTTCCTTAAGTCAATGGGGCCTCATCACCGCTGCCATTAAATGAAGTGCGTGGTATTTAATAGTAACAACGAGCTGTGGTTATTTCTGGTCATGTAAAGCATGTTATTATAGCAAGAACTAAATCCGTTTCAAATAATTTCCATTTAGTTTTTTCTATATCTACAAAGGTACTTGAATAGGCAAAGAGCATGAGGGTTCATCTCAACAAGACCAGCCTGTAATCAAACCAGGGATTTTAGTGGGTGAGCTGGCATATTAATACGAATATGATGAGTCAAGGGCTTGTCTAAAGTCTCCTCAAATTCTGTCCCTCATATGTATTCTGTATTCCCAACCACAAATTTCCAACGTCTGAATAAGTCAGAAATGCACAAAAAGCTCAGAGAAGGCAGAGAACTGTGACTACCAAGTGAGCAGTATCTGAACCGGACTGGAACAAACTGATCTCCCTTGAACTCTCCAAGCAAATGCATTATGGAAGATTCTCTGTCTGTTTTCCATTCTGTCTGTTGGATGAATGGTTATGGCATGAGAGTTCACAGAGACAGCATGTTCTGACATAAGAGGCACGTTTTTGATCATTCATCCAGAAGGAAAGGCCAATAAAGGAAATGAAAGTTCTGTAATCATTTGCGCACCCTCATGTTGCTCCAAACCTCTTTGCTGTTGTTTTTTGTAGTGGGACACGAAATTAGAAATTTTGTTGAATTTGATACAATGAGAGTTTAGAATTTCATCTGCCTAGTCCAAAATATGTTCAAATAAATCCATACGATCCATATGATGCACTATATCCAAACTTTCTAAGGCCATACAATTGCTATGGATGTAAGTAGCAAGTCATTACTTATCTTCATAATTACTTCACATCAAGATTCACTTTCAAATCAAATATGGCAAAAAACAAACAAATAAAGTAAAATTTGCTTTGGGTGGTAACATCTAAATGAACTGCCATTCAAGTCAAAATATATTTACAACATTGTATATTGTGTATATTTTGACTGTATATACACCATTCTTTTTTTTTATGAAATTGCTATAGTTATTCAGCTTGAATGCTTTAAATTGATCAAAAGTAACAGTAAAGATACTTACAATATAAAAAATATATATATTTTAAATAAATACTGTTCTTTAGTACTTTCTTTTTAACAAAAATCTTGAAAAAAAAAAATCACAATTTCCACAAAAACATTAAGCAGCTTTTTTTCAGCATTGCTGATAATGATAAATTTTTCTATTGCACCGACTCTGCATATTAGAATAATTTCTGAAGGATCATGTGACACTAAATACTGGAGTAATGAAACTAAAAATTCAGCTTTGCCATCACAGCAATAAAATACTGTGACGGGGCTGACGAGACGTGAGACGTGTGGATCCATCTGCAAGCTTTTATTCAAGAGACGTGGTATAACAGGCAGGGTCGAACAATGGCAAACAGGTATATGGCAGGCAAAAACACAAGAATAGTCCTAGGGCTAGCGTAGGTCACCGATTGGCATACAGAATCACAGGGGCGAGACGAGAGGGAAAATCCAGGAAAACAGGCAAAGATCAGAAACCACAAAAACAGGCAAGGCAAAAAAAGGAAAACACAGATACTCGGAATGGGGTACAGGCTAAACAATACTCAGCAGAGAATGGTGGTTTGAGTGGGTGTTATATAGTGAATGAGGTGATAAGAAACAGCTGTGTGCAATGAGTGCAATCAGTGCAGTGTGCAAACCGTGCAATGAATGATGGGATATGTAGTCTGGGGTGCTATGCAACAGTTTGTGTTGTGCGAGAGTCAATGTAAAGGAAAGGGTGACCTCTGGTGGTTAAACAAAGTTCCTCTTTTGAATTATAAAATATAACGAGTTGATTAAATATTGAATGCACCCAGCCAGTGAGGCACTCTCTTCTCATTAACTTAAGAGCACTGTTTTGGTGTTATGACCATTGTAAAGGCTCAGTAATTGCATCAAGGAAAATCATTGTTTCTTTTCCCTGAGGAGTGTTTATAGGCCATGTTTTGAGTTCTTGTGTTTGTGTGTCAACAGTGCAACCCAAGATCACATTCCTAGAAAACCAGACGGCCTCTGAATTGGAGGAGCAGATCACACTAACTTGCGAGGCCACGGGTGATCCCACCCCCAACATCATCTGGAGCTTTGGTCGCCGGGTCTTCACAGAGAATGAGCAGGTGCTGAGGTTGAGGGATCAGGGGTCAGTGGGCAAAACCATTGGTACTAAAGGCCGAAAAATACTGATTGGATTGATATACTGGTAGAAATTTGTATACATTTGACTATTATTTTTGTCATGGTTATATAAAACGTAGCTACATGGTATTAAGTGGGTGTTTCAGTCACTTTACAATGTGGAATGAGAAAGAGCTTGTTTAAAAAAAGAAAATGTCCTTTGTTTGAACCGACCCCTTTTGTTGTTATTGTTGCCAATGCTTTGAAACTTTCTTATATGCACCTATTCTGCTGGGGTTTTTTTGTAAACAAGGATAGGGAAACAGTTGATTTACCTCTAGAATTATTAAGTAACACCTGGGTCAGCTGCGCATTTATATCTAGTAATTAAATATAGTTGGTGAAAGGTTTCTAGTTAGCCATGGAAGCTGTACTGGAATGCCTGATGAGAGACTTGTTTCAGAATCAAAGCAAACGTTTATCATGTTCAATTGAGATGAGAGAGCAAATTTTTTGGTTGGATTAAAATAAGAGATTCTGAGCAGATAAATGGTCTGATGAATATCATTTTCAGTAATTAGCTATATTGATATTCACTACCGTTCAAAACTGTCAAGACTGCTGAATATTCACCTTTGCTGAATGCATAAATTACAGTACATTTTTTTTATATATTCACATAAAAAAAAACAGTTATTTTAAATTGTAGTTATATTTCACAATATTACTGTTTTTGTGATCAAATAAATGCAATCTTGGTGAGCATGAGAGATTTCTTTCAAAAACATAAAAAATCTTCCTGACCCCAAACTTTTGATCGGTAGTGTATATTAATTGTCTGGTATTCTTGACTGTTCAGATAAAGGTCCAGCATTTAAATTTGTGAAATTATTATTATTTATTTTTTTTCAGTGTATTTATTTCCTTTACAGTTTTCAGTTTTAAACATTTTCATAAAAATCTGTATATTATGTGTAAGTTCATTCAAAAAGTCTAGTTAGCGCTCCCAGAAGAGGTGTGTTGTCAGTTCCACAAATTGTGTGTTGTATATTGTTATTGACCAGATTCTTTTTATGTTTAATTAATGCATACTTTCTGATTTAATCACCTACCCAGTCAGGAAATACAGCAATTGCACTAGAGGAGTCAAAACAAGAGTACAATACACATTTTTAGGAGTTCTCCTGATTGCTGTTAGGCCTATGCTAGTGAGTAAAAGTGAGTTTTTTTATATCTTAGAAGCGGCAAGCTCACCAGTGCTCAGTCTCACTGGTCTCTCTGCTCTGCTGGATTCTGAACCTCTCTTAAGCTGGCTGCACAAAAAAATCTTAAAAGATTTTAAAAACATGGGAGACCACAGACATGGAGACAATTCAACCGATTTTTAGCCTTATAATCCTCTGAATGCGCACACTAGATGATTAGACCAGACCACGAGACCACACACTTGATGATTGTAGGAACGATTTCACAGTGACACGAGATCTCACGGACACTCGCGAGATCAAACATGACTAGAGAAGAAAAACAAATAGAGGACAATCGATGTTGTCAGCTGGCTCTCCCGGCGCGCATTCTGTTGTACAGTGAAAAACAAAGTATTGAAAAGAATATGGGTGATGTTCTCTGCTTTCATGGCATGTGTGTGGCTGCCAAGTTTCAGCTATAGAAGCATGCAACATCCGGTAGGTGACGCTTGCTCGCTTTCATTGGCTGTCGCGGGTATCACGTCAGAAGCAGCCTGATCAAGAGTCGTAAATATCAAACATGTTTGATATTTACGATTTGAGTTCGGCGACACTCCGTCTCGATCGGGAGCAGTTAAGTAATCGTAATGACACCACACAATAAAGGATTTTTTGGACAAAAAATCGCTTGCAACAAGCCGCGAATCAGGCCACACACCCTGATCTTTCGGGGGTGCAAATCGGGCTTAAAATTGGCCTTAAAATCCTCTAGTGTGCACCCAGCCTTATTTAGTCAAGCACACTACCTAATTAACAGCCTCGAAATACTCTGTCTCAATTTATATTTCATCATAGTACAGTGATCAGAATTCATCGACAGCTGCTAAAAGCTCTTACTGCTTCTCAGCCTGATGGGGAGCCCCTAACCACTTCAAACGTGATTTCTCCTTCCCCTCTCTCAGGTAAACCCAGTGGTTTTCAATCCTGGTCCTGGGGACTCACTGCTCTGCACATTTTGTGTGTCTCTCTTATTAAACACACCTGATTGAGATCATCAGCTCATTAGGAGAGATCCATGAACTAAATTGAGTGTGTCAGATAAGAGAGACATACAAAATGTGCAGAGCAGTGGGTACCCAGGACCAGGATTGAAAGCCACTGGGTAAACCCTACATGTCCAGCCCGTTCCAGTCTTATAGCTAGGAAAATGTGAGTTCATTGTTAGAGGGTTTTGAGCCTGCCATAGATCTCAGTAGGCAGGTGTGAAGTCCAAGCATGTTAACAAGTCTCTGAGGCCCTTTTTGGTAATATTTTAATTGTATGTATCAAATCCCCAAGGCATCGTGGGAATTAATCCTTATATAAAACCCTTCATGTATTATTAGAATATCCCACTGGTCACCCTGTTTTTATGCCAGCAGTACTTGGTAAGCGACCAGTTTGCCCTCCTCCTGCTGGTGGGCTATGTTGTGTAGGTGGGCTGTGAAAAAGCACCTTATGTTTACGTGTACATCTGGCTCACTATGAAAATTATATTTGCGTGACAATAGCCCACCAGATTAGATCCTTCCCTGTGTTTGCATTGTATTATCTCTGGCTAGTCGAGCCAATATTCATAGCTGTCAAAGGGGAAAAATATTTCCAGCTGTACGGTGAAGGTTTTCTTTGTTTATGATCATTTTTATTGCTGGTTCTCAGCTCAGAATAGCAAATGGATATGCTTTGTAAAGAATGATCATAGTCTTGCTTATTCATGCTGCTCTGATTGATGTCTGACTCTTATTTGACCACTCCTCATGAGTGTTTGCACTTGTAGCATTGTGGTTACAAAAGTGATTACTTTTGGAAATGTGGTTGTTCCATTTAATGAATGTCTACTTAATCTTGTTGTAAACAATGTTAGATTATATGATTTTGTTCATTTTGCTGTTAGGATAGGACTTGAAATGGATTTAAACTACCAAATACACTTAAACTTGTATTTTGGAACACGGTATCCTGGTATCTTAGCTGCTCTAACCAGGTCATTAACTGGTCCATGCTTGTCATTAGCCAGTGGACCAACAAACATTGTTCACCTCAACAAAATAGTTCACCCAAAAATAAAAATTTGCTGAAAATTTACTCATCCAAAGGCCTTCCTAGATGTAGATTAGTTTGTTTTTTCATCAGAACAAATTTAGCATTACATGATTTGCTCACCAATGGACCCTCTGCAGTGAATGGGTGCCATCAGAAGAGTCCAGAGAGTCCAAACAACTAAAAACATAAAAATAATACACAAGTAATTAACATTACTCCAGTCCATCAGTTAACATCTTGTGAATGGAAAAACTGCAGAAACTGTCAAACTATAAGTTGGTAGCTGATATTTTCTTGACCAGCTTGGACTAACTAATATCTTGCTTAGAGAAACCAGCTACTGTGTTGAAAAACACATGCAGCGCTATAATAACCTGAAATTTAGCAGTTCATTAGCACTAATTTTGTTGAGCTGCACTTGTCTCTCACCTCATCTCATCACCTTCTACAAGATGTAGTGATGCTTCATGTTTCTGTGTGTTCGCTGACTGGAACTACCTGTACATTCAAGGATTCCAGCCAGTCAGAATCAAGTATTCAGACAGACAGTCCTATAAGTATATGTGTAAGTGTATGTCTTTCGATGGTTGCCCGAGGATTGCCTTAAGTGAAAAGAGCTGGCAGTGTTTAATGAGGCGTTCCTTAAGTCAATGGGGCCTCATCACCGCTGCCATTAAATGAAGTGCGTGGTATTTAATAGTAACAACGAGCTGTGGTTATTTCTGGTCATGTAAAGCATGTTATTATAGCAAGAACTAAATCCGTTTCAAATAATTTCCATTTAGTTTTTTCTATATCTACAAAGGTACTTGAATAGGCAAAGAGCATGAGGGTTCATCTCAACAAGACCAGCCTGTAATCAAACCAGGGATTTTAGTGGGTGAGCTGGCATATTAATACGAATATGATGAGTCAAGGGCTTGTCTAAAGTCTCCTCAAATTCTGTCCCTCATATGTATTCTGTATTCCCAACCACAAATTTCCAACGTCTGAATAAGTCAGAAATGCACAAAAAGCTCAGAGAAGGCAGAGAACTGTGACTACCAAGTGAGCAATATCTGAACTAGACTGGAACAGACTGATCTTCCTTGAACTCTTCAAGCAACAGCATTATGGAAGATTCTCCGTCTGTTTTGCATTCTGCCTGTTTGATGAAAGGTTTTGGCATGAGAGTTCACAGACATAGCATGTTCTGACATAAGAGGCACATTTTTGGTCATTCATCCAGAAGGAAAGGCAATTAAAGGAGATGATAGTTCTGTAATCATTTGCACACACTCATGTTGCTCCAAACCTCTTTGCTGTTGGTTTTTGTAGTGGGACACGAAATGTGAAAATGTGTTAAATTTAATACGAGAGTTTATAATTACAACATCTGTCTTATCCAAAATTGACCAAAACACATTAAAATGAATCCATTTGATTTGTGCGCTATATCCCAATTTTCTAAGGCCATATAATTGCTATGGATGAACTTAATGTACAGTAAGTCATTACTTATCTTCATATCCACTTCACCTCAAGAGCACCTTTCAAATCGAATATGGCACAAAAAAAAGTGCTTTGTGTGGTAACATCTAAGTTAATTTTCATTTAAGTCAAAATATATGTATTTTTTTAATTGTATGCTTTTTAATTGTTTATATACCGTTATTTTTATTTTTTTAAATTGCTACATTTATTCAGCCTGGATGCATGAAATTGATCAAAAGTAACTGTAAAGATATCTACAATGTTACAAAAGATTTCTATTTTAAATGTTGTTCTTTTGAATTTTATATTGACAAAAAATCCTATATTAAAAAAATTAAAAAATCACAAATTCCACAAAAATTACCGTTGCTGGTAATGATACATTGTTCTAGAGCAACGACACAGCATATTAGAATGATTCCTGAAGGATCATGTGACGCTGAAGACTGGAGTAATGGCTGCTGAAAATTCAGCTTTGCCATCACAGGAAGAAATTACATTTTAAGATATGAAATAGAAATTAGTTATTTTAAATTGTAATGATATTTCGCAATGTATTTACTGAATTTTGATCAAATAAATGCAGCCTTGTTGAGCACGAAATACTTTTTCTAAACACTAAAAAATGCAAATGTTCTTTTAAATTATTTGTGTTCTTCAGAAAAAAGCAAGGTGAATAAAAATTATTTTAATTTGAGTGAACTATACTTTTAAAAGCAATAGCTAATAGTTAAACACTGAAAATCACATGTCCAAGTACTGAGCCAAAGGACTTAACTTTAAGTGAAGATGAGAATTCTTCTGTGGAGTCACTGCCCCTTCATTTATCATTTAAGCCGCTCTCACTGGGACCTAGTGAGTTGTCCTTGACACTGCTACTGTATGAATCACACAATCAAAAGAGGCATTGCAGGTCTGCTAGCTTATTGTGGAGTCCAGAGCCAAGCTGCCCTTCTCTAATGATAGTCTCTTAGTGGCACCCCTGCTGATCTGAGGTCAGCATGGTCCATGCTATGACGCTCCTAATGTTTTAAGCAGACTGTGTCTGCACTCAGAACCATTAACACACACCCTGCCAGGATAACCATGTTCACCTGGGGGAAAAAACTACTTTTAAGATTAGATTTTTTTTCTCTCTCTCTTATATGTGACCCTGAATGTTCATTTTTGGATTTAACAATGGACAGATGATCTTGCTGCTCTTTACAGATCAGTGTCATCCCAATGCTGTTTATATGCATGCAGAGTGTAATAAGTCCAGAGGTTTTGTTTTAAAGGTCAACGAGAGAGTCCGTGACCAGGAATGTTCTTGAGAGAAGAGGGTCGAGCTGCCAAGATCGCAGAAGCAGGTGCCAAACACAAGGTTTTAACCCCCTGTAACCTTCTGACAAGCTGTTAGTGGGAGAGTAATTAAATCAATAGAGGAAGAAAGGATGTCAAGCCTCTTTAATACAAGTCAGAATGAAAAAATTCAGATGGACTCTCGGCAGGAAAAGCATAGTTATTTTTCTTTGAGTTATGTCTGTGTTTGCAAAGGCAGACAGTCTACACACATTTTCCTTTTTTTAACAGTTTTCTAAGCCTTGTATTTAAAAATTAATGAGCTAATTATACATTTAAAATAATGAATCAAGTCACAATTGTGAGATATTATGTCATATTGTGAAAAATAAAGTCACAGTTATGGAAGTAATTACTAAAAATCTAGTGTAGCGTTAGTTCTGGCTGGTTACGTTAGTCAAGCTCGCATCAGCTGACTCTCAGCTGATCCCCATCAACCTATGGGAATACGACACCTATCTAAGCATTCATACATAAGGTCCCTCAGTATTATCAGCAGTTTTCGCATTGCTCAATAGCTAATTACCCTATATCATCTTTGACGATAGTGGTCCTGACAGAAGTATTTTTTTTCTATGCCAGAGTTATTGTGGCATCAACTATTTTAATTATACCTGCTCCTAATTGACAAGTAAACAAACTGTGATTGATCACTTGATATATCAATCAAACAATCTCTTCCTGTCTAATTGGTCAGTTCTTTGCTAGAATAAACTGCAAAGTAGACCAGACAGTTGTACTTAGTAAAAAGTCTGGCTCCACAGACTGCTTTTAGCCATCATCCGACAAACGACTCAATTGATATGCATAGACGAAGACCTAAGTGGTTTATAAAATCCTGTCCTTTGTTCATGCACACCAAATGGCCTTAAATATTTAGCTGGAACTCAGCAGACTACAAGTAGTTTCTTTAATCACAAATGTCATTATTCTGCTTGATCAGTGTCAGTGTCAGATTTGATAATGCATCCTGAAATCCCACTTGTCTGCGGCAGATTCCCTTTTAAGCAAATTGTGTGATTAGCAATCAAAATAATAGAACGCTGCCTTCATGAAGAGCAAGCTTTCATTGAGTTGCTGTCGCTCTGTCATAAGTGAAATGGGTAGGTTGTCTGCTATTCATGTCTGTTTGATTTATCAGTTGTTCTAGTCACATCTTCAACAGCCTCTATTGTGAGTCATGCAAATTCTCGCCAATGCAATTCCAGATGGCAACGTCATTGATTGATTTTAGGTTAACAAATGAGTGGAAGGTATAAAAACCTTCACTGAAAACTATTCATCACTGTCCCGTTCAAAGAATAAAGGGATCTGTGTTGTCAAATGGAAGAATGGCTCTCGTTAAGGCTCAAAGCTGCTGCCTGTGACTTATGGGACATAGGCGTAATGAATGTGATGATCACAGTTAGCATCACAGGCAGTAGACCTCGGCAGATTGATGAGCTCTTTGACTTGTCGCTTTAGTTCCAAGGTGTGCATCATTTCATATGTATACCTATTGTGTTATTAATTATTGATGTAGCGTGACACTTTGATGGCTTGTCAGCATGTGGGGTGGGTGGGGGGATGACTTTTCTCATCATTTGTAAGATCATATGCATGTGTCACCTGGAGCATTGCACCTGGATGTCTGAGCATCCACTCATGTTTAAGTCATTTGATTTCCCAGCCTGCAGCTAAATGTGTCCTTTTCCATGCAGTTTGATTGTTGTTCAAATCAAAAAAATGATTTGTCACACTTGATGATGTTTTGATTATGCACTTCTCAACTGGTATCATGCTCTGATACTGGTCATAACAAGGCTAGTTCAAGCATTTTATATAATTACATCATTTTTTTTATTTATAAAGCTTGTTTTTTTATAAAGTTTTTTTAATAAATAACTAGGCATGGGCCAGTATGAGATTTTGATGGCTAAAATGTGTTATTTTTAAATGACTGGGTAAAAAAATTTATAATAATTTTCCGCTGAACACAATATATTTTGTTTTTGAGCAATATACAGAATATTTGGAACAGTAGAATTTGTTTGTTTTCTTTGATTTGTTTCCTAAAAAGAAGAAAAATAAAGACATCTTTATTTAACCTAAATCTGTAATTACAGTTATTTAATTTTAGTTATATAATTCATATACATATCATTTATATCATTTCATATCATTTAGTTACATTATTTCATATACATAATTTGATTTAATAATAACCCAATTTGAAGCAAAAATTGAATGTTCTGACTAGCTTTGTGAAATTACACTACATGCCTGAACGAAGCAAACATCGGAAGCTCTGAATGAGACAGATTCACTCTCTGACAGCAGGAGGCGCTTCTCAAACACCAGATACAGCGTTTCCTTGGTTACCGCTGTAAACAAAGCATCACTGCACTGAAACGCTGCTTTAATATGAACTATACAGAGACGAGATGAAAAGAAAATACCACGTAAACTTTTCTGAAGACAGTCAGTTCTCCTCAGAAACACATTTATATAAACCCCCAAATCAATATTGAGGATTTTCTTCCAATAGTTTGTGCATCATGAACAGTGAGTGATCTGCCTGCTACAATATTTTTCTCTGTGCGTCCGTCTTCAACGTCTCTGGCCTGTGTTAACGGGTATTTACAGACTTCATATCTTCACATAAATTACATTTTGGAAAACGATTGCATTGCAACGCAGTTTGTGCAAGTCCAGAACAGAGACGAGTTGCTTGCAATAAGACAAAAAACAGCCGTTGCCGATCGTGTAGGAAGCTCCTTAAGTTCGGTCATCCTACACACACGTGACTGACCGCTCGCTCACACCAACAGGAGGAGGAAGATCGTGTTACTCTCTACACTGCACTCAACCTGAGGGATTCCTACACTTTCAGTCTTTGAGGAGACATGAAAAACAGCGCATACCACAGGAACGGTATAATGGAAAATATTAGCCTTATATTAATATTATATTAAATTTTCAAATCGTGGTATACCTTGAAACCGGTTATCAGCCCATGCCTATAAATAACTCCAAATAAAATAATAAAAAACGTAACACAAAATAAAAGTATGTTATTATTAACATCTCTATTGCCTGTAAGTATGGTACAATTACTAAAACTTTGAAATTTGTCTTTGATTTGATTAAAGTCAAGTTGTTCAGCTTGGAGCTTCACATGCTGTCTGCTCTGAATAGCGTGCATGTGTGATGCCTGTGTAACTGAGTGCCTACTGACTTTTTTTTTATGGCTTTTTTTTCCATTTCTGTCATGTTTTGCTTTGTGTGTTTGTCCTCCCAGGCTTCATGGACTCGACCTGAGAAACACAAGGTAGGGCTGCTTCAAATGTAGCCAGGATGTTTACTAATCATAGAGAAGCCCTTATCACTGCAGAACATCAAGTGTTGGCTCTCTTCTACCCTTAAAATCCTGTAAACACACATCGCATCTGATCAAATGGCATCCCTAGTCTACAATGATTGTCGTTTCATTTCTTTACATGCAGCATATTGCTCATTATTTTTCTGGATAGCTTCTGTCAACAGAAATGTTGAAGATCCTATTTGGTCTTTCTAAGCTGTGAATTTTTTTTTACTTCGCCTTTCTTAGTAGACCTGTTTTCCTTTACAAATTCCCCTCAGACAAACTTTCTCAAGGGACTGGGGAAGAAAATAAAGAGAGGGTGTTAGAGCAGGGCTTCAAGGGTTGGAACATGCCAGGTTCTTCTTTAGAGTATGAGCCAACACTCAGTGTTCTCCCATAGACTCAGAAAGGGGAATGTTGCAGCACTAAAGCAGACACTAGGACATATAACCAACTCCAGCTTCAGACAACACATGCTTCTGTTAACATAAATATACTAACCCTTACTGGATAAACTCATATGCCACATGTCAGAGATGATTACAGTAACTTTAAAGTCAATGTGAAACCCATTTTACTTCAATAATGTGGTACATTTATGTTAAATAGGACATTTAATGATAAAAAAAAAATGTATGGCAAGACCGTGTTTTATCCATTGGGAGTTGATTGGATTGGGAAAAGCAGGTTTTGTGTTTATGAAAATATTGGTTAACATTATCCAATAGTGACATGAATGGAAAGGGAAAATACATTGTGATTACAGATTACAAAGGCTTTCTTTTAGAAGAAAGTAAATAGGTTAATTTTGATTTCACGTTGACTTTAGCTGTAGATACACAATATGAGCAAGTGATTCCATGCTTGACTCTGAAATGTTAGACTCTTTTACTTGCTTTATTCATCTGTCAGAGAGAGAATTCATCAGTGTCTGCATTGCAGATTAAGAATGATTCAGATGCATATGGATTGTGTGGGAAGGTCTGTTTATCTGATCTGCTGAGATGAAAGGCCACAGTTATGGGATTGCCCACACATCACTTCATGTTTTCAGTCCTCAGGAGGACAGATAAAAAGCACCATGGTTTTTTACACGTGCTAATTTCCTCTGAGTCAGAGACAATGAAATTACTTTATCATAAGTTTTGGAATAATCAAGAGTCTGCAGTACTGAGTTGATGCTTTAAACGAAAAATTCAAGATTACATTCTTTCTACATTATGGGCAGTACTGACTCAAGTGTTGTGTGACTGACAGGCGGCTGTTTTTCAATGCTCACACGTACTGTGTGCATGCTCTGTGAAGTGCGCTCGTGCTTCGCAGTAATGCTACACGCACGAACGGTCAAGCTTTTCTTGTTCAAAATGCTCATCATGCCGAGGTGTTAATATAAACACAGTTGATTATGTCTTTAGTGAATGCAAACAGGTAGAACAAACAAATGGTGTGATATGTTAGAATATCAGATATGCCTTGAAATGTAAATGGACCTGCCACTGTCTATTGTGTTGCTACTATTAATCAATCACAAATTTTAACAGGAAAAAGAGAAAGCCACTCACTGCTCGCAGCTGGATAGCTTTAGTAGTTTTAATATAGAAGAAGAGATAGACCCTCTACAATCAAACATGAGCACAAAGTTAAGCCTGCTTTTCAGACATACTCATACAGAATTAAATCAGTTTTAATGAGTTATATCTAGTAATCATGCAAGATTAAGTCAACCATTTAATTGTTTACATTTCAATAACTTATTTTAACAAATAGGTGTGTTCTTCCAACAAGATCTCAATGTAATTTTATAGATTTTTGTAGACATTTACATACATTTTCATACTCTATATATATACAATGGGGCAAAAAAGTATTTAGTCAGCCACCAATTGTGCAAGTTCTCCCACTTAAAAAGATGAGAGAGGCCTGTAATTTTCATCATAGGTATACCTCAACTATGAGAGACAAAATGAGAAAAAAAATCCAGAAAATCACATTGTAGGATTTTTAAAGAATTAATTGGTAAATTGAGCTCATGAAAAATGGGGGCAAAAACAAAAGTGTTGCGTTTGTTTTTGTTCAGTGTATATATGTATGCATGTGTAACAGTGGTATATATATCAGTGGTGTGCGGTGGTGTTTTAAAATGAGGAGCCAGTTATATATATATATATATATATATATATATATATATATAAATTCATGTTTACACTTAGTGCAAATAGCTATAGATTCTATTTACACCTAATGTTAGCAGGATTTTCTGCTATTTACACTACTTATTGCAAATAGTGGCAATTATCTGCACCTCAGTATTGTAGTACATTATAAAACAGTATGCATTAATAACATATTGAGTGTAAATTATAATTTTAATTCAAATATTAAAAGGATGCCACCTTATTGGGACAATAAAGCCCTCCCTACACATACCCTAACCCTACCTGATACTTTAAGTTAAACTTTTAGATTATTTCCTTCATTATTATTGAAAATACATGTCTTTCCAACGTGATATCTGATTTAAAAAGGTAGAGCAAAAAAGTTCGGCAAAATGCGGATTCGAACTCCGGTCGATCGCGTCAAAAACGACTTCAACACGTACTTCACGATCTGCGTCACTGGAGCTATTATTAAATGATGGTCTTCTGTAATGCTTTGTAATCACACGTTGATGGGCGGAGTTAGTGTAAATAACCTCTGCCAACAAGGCGGGCTATTTGCACTTGTATATAGACACTCTGTTTTTTATTTGTGAACTGATGTTCAGCTGTTCTTTTTAATACTTTTTAATCACAAACATTGTCACAGGCACGAAAATAGGCTACATCTTTCATTTCATCAAGCTGAACACTAAAAACTGACAGTCATCACGTTTTCAAACCATTTCATGTTTAATTTTGACGTGACACAAAGCAGTGATATCTAAGCAGGAGAGTTGTTTACTTTATAATTAGTCAATAACGGCATCATTTTCTTCATTCAGGTCGAGAGCTCGCACGAAAGCAAGAGGTGGGATTTATTACACGAACCAATCACATTCAATCATAACCGATCATATCCAATTATAGCGCGATGGAGGCATTGCCTCCTCTCACGTGATTTTCCCCCATTCATCTCAATGAGCCTTCAGAAAAGTCACGGCATGCTTTAGGGTCTCTGTAGAAAGTCAATGGACCGAAGGGAGGCAAGCCTCCGCTGTAACTTTACCTGCAGGTGTCGCTGTTGGACAGTGTTACTTTATAAAAACGAGGGACTTTTAGACTTTTAAAGGGGTCGTATGATGCTGCTAAAAAGAACATTATTTTGTGTATTTGGTGTAATGAAATGTGTTTATGCGGTTTAAGGTTCAAAAATCACATTATTTTCCACATACTGTACATTATTGTTTCTCCTCTATGCTCCGCCTTTCTGAAAGCGTCGATTTTTACAAAGCTCATCGGTCTGAAAAGCGAGGTGTGCTCTGATTGTCCAGCTATCCAGTGCGTTGTGATTGGCCGAATACCTCAAGCGTGTGACGGAAATGTTACGCTCCTTACCATATTGTGATGCCGTGTCCCGGCCGGAGCGATGAGACAAAAACAATAAAACCCATTATAAACAAGGCATTTGTTGCATCCAGTGGGGACATAATTACGGATTATAATGATTTAAACTGTCTTTTTACACATTTTGTAAACATAAAACCATGTCTGCATTTGTGATCAGAGAAATGACAAACAACAAGCGCTACTCTACACTGCTCAAAACTCACGTTTGAATCATCAGTGTACAATTATTTAAAATCCTCTACTTCATTTTGCTCGCGTCTAGGCCTGTCGCAATAATCAATTAATCGACTTATCGCGCAATATATGTACATGACTTCAATAATTTTTGGTGATGCAATATATCGCCCATTATATTTACTTTAAATATAATTAAATTGAATCATTTTTTTTAAATATATAAAAATTAATGTCACCATGTTTTGTACATTCCACTTGTGCCTGTGTCTTTTGCAGCTTCTCGTACATAATGTGGTGTAGTCATGAGGTGCTAGTTCTAATTTAAAAAATGCATTTTTCTTTTTTTGTACTCGTTACTTTGCACTTTTTGTTAGAAAATGTTTATTTATTATTTATTCAGTTTTTTAAGGTATCTAATATTTTGAGACTTAATTTCCATGATCTAAATATTCTTAAAAATTAAAAGTTTGTTGTCAATTGGAAGTGTGTAGGCCGCCTTGCATTATTATGCTGTTACATTACGATTATATATTCAGTGGCATAAAATGGTCTTTAAAATGGCAATAATAACGCTTATCGCAATTATTTCTGGGGCAATATATCGCACAACAAAAAGTTGTTATCGTGACAGGCCTACTCGCGTCGATTAACCGGCAAAATACCAGAAGTGGCGCATTTCACAGACGAGAATGTATAAAACATATTATTAGTCTGTTTTCCAAGGCTGCATGATATATTAAAACCATTTAAATAATTAAGCATAATTGTGAGTTCACAAACGCTACGATTTAATTAAATAATTATATGTGATGCAGTTCTAATACAGTATATGAGCTTTAATTATTTACATGCGTGTAGGTTGAGTACATGCATCACACAGAGGCTCCGTTCACAGTAGTTCCACAGGAACTGTTATCATTTACATGTGTTGAGCATCTCAAACTGTTGTGAGTTTGGGTTTATAATAACGTTCATCTGGGAACGCAACATGCACCATTTCATCAGATTTGTAAGGTCAATCATTTATAAATCTACGCAAACACAGGAGAAATATATTGTGGTTTCAAAATAAAAGCTCAAACCCTCACTTTTTACCCAGTTTACCCATTTTGATGTCCACATATTCATTTAATTATGGTGGCTATAGCATTTCTGTCCTAAAGAAATGACCAAATATTAAAGATTAAGTGGACATTTGAATGAAATGGTGCTTGGTCAATATTAAACAAGAATTAGATCGCACAG